GGGGCAGGGTTCCTTCTCTCAGCCTTGGCGTTGACCAATCTCTGGCCCCCCTCCTGCTGTCGCTAGAGCAGCTTTGGGCCCCTGGATAGAACTGGTGCCTTGGTCTTCCCCCCTCGCCTCCCCGCCAACTGGAGCTAAGCAAACAGTTACCAGATTTGGAGAGGAGGGTCGCTCCTGGGTTGTCACACCCACTTGAAAGCTCTTTTTCCCTGCATTCCTGGCTCACTTCTGTGCTGTTACATTCAAACACGTTTATGACCCACATTCAGACCTGATGACTATGAAAGCAAGTCCGCATTCACTGATGATTCAGGAGAACTTGAAAGATGAGCTGAGTCAATATGAGCTGTGGTTTTTAACTCCTCCACCCATCCTATTGTAATGTGCCCCCCCCCTTACCTTTCTCTGAGCACCGCGCTCTTCAGGGCTCCTGTGCGTGCATGGAGGCGGCCAGGGAGAGATGGGTAAATTGGCCACAACCACCTTCCGTGACTCTTGATCCTCAGGGCTTCACGTGAGGCAGGCAGCTGTGCAGCCCGCAGCCTCTGAACAGGGAAGTGGAGATGAGAGGTGGTGGAAGGGGAGCCCACTTTGGGCTTTTTGAAGCACCAGCTCTAAGGACTTTACGTGGAGGTTTTGGCCTCACCTGTGGGCCAGAGCAGGGAAGGTGGGGGAGGGCTTTAAAAGATACTGTGAAAACGTCTAGACAAGTCTGAGGTCAGGGTGGGTGAGGAAGAGGAAAACCTCACAGGGACCAGCCCTTGGGGTTCATTTCTTGCTCTAATAAACCATGTCGCCCCTACTCCTTTCCTCCTTCCTTCCCTTACTTTCTTGCTCTGTTGCTTCTTGGTTGTTTATAGTCTAGCCCAGTGGTTATCAGCCACGCCTGGACACTTGTTAGAAATGCAAATTCTCAGACCCTACCCCAGACCTACTGAATCAGACACTCTGGGAGTGGGGCTGGCAATGTGTGTTTTAACTAGCCCTCCAGGTGATTGATTCTAGGCATGCTTGAAGTTGAGAACCCTGCTCTAGTCTCCTTTTCCCCAATGAGGCCGAGGCTCCCCGGAGGGCAGATTACAGAGGGCATGGCGCAGTCCTTGGCATCCAGGGGCCCAGCCCTGCCCAGAACCCTTAGCAGGAAGTTGGAAGATCAAGGAGGCAGCCCCGAAATAATCAGGACCTGGGTTCTAGTTGGGTGGCCCCAGCCAAGTCACTCAACTTGCCGACTCTTTGATTCTTCCTCTGTAGTGTAGATGGGAAGAAGTTGGTCTCTGAGTCTGGATCTGGCCAGGGTCTGCTTCATTATTCCTCCCTTTCCTACTGACTCCCTGCCCAGCCCCCATGGCGACCCTGGGTTTCTTTTTGTCCTTGGGTACTGTTGTGTATTGGGAGAAAGAGAAATTGAGTGGAGAACTGAAATAGGAACATGTGTAGGAGAAGCCATAGGCTCCAACAGAAATGGGGCCATGTTGGAGTATGTGCTCCCATTGGGTAGGGAGCTCAGCTGGGGGGAGGGGGAGAGAGACAGAGAGCGGGCTTTGCTGTCAGGAGTCGGAGTAGCCAATTAAAGCAACAAGCCTTTAATCACTCGCTGCGATGGTACAAATAAGAGTCTAAAATCAGAGAAGCTGCCCATCCCCTGTTCCATTTTCCCCCATGGAACTGCATACGAGTCAGGGGCAGATGGATCAGTTGTAGATGTGAGGGTTGTCTTGCTCTTGAGGAAGCCCCTGAAGAAAAGGCAGTTTTAGGGCCCCCGAGGTGGGAGGAGAGGGAAGGGGGAAGGGCTCAGAGTGGAAAAGTCCCAGGGACCGAGACGGTGGGGAGAGTGTCTTCATGGCTTCCTCCCCTACCCGCACTCACCCTCGAAGGAGGCCTCAGCGGAGATGGGCACCTGAAGAGGGCCACTGCCTGAGCCTCAGACAGAGACAGGAATGCAGGTGCCTCCCAGCGAGGAATGCAGGCGTGCGAAGCGCACGACCAGCGAGGGGGCCCCAGGGCAGTGACTGCACCTCCCTCCAGATGCCATCCGTGGGCTGTGCCCGAAGGCTGCTGAGTGCAGGGCGCCTTCCCCGGGCCCGCCAGGCGAAGCCTCTGTAACTGCCTACAGGTCAGGCCTTGAACATCACACAATCACACATAGGTTTTTAAGCAGGAGCCAGACGGCTCACTTCCGCTCAGGGAGACACCAAGTGACCCCCTCCTCCCTGCCTCTTTTGAGCCACCTCCAGCTTTCAGGCAAGGATCAGGGCACCTGCCTCTGCACAGGGGTGCAGTGACTTTGTCCAGGTGGAAATCGCTTTTCACCCACTTGTCTAGGTTTGATGCTTTTGATGCCTGTCATTTTAAATCATAAGCATTTCTGGGAAGTAACTGGAAGAAGTGCAAACCCCCATGACCAGTTCACATGCTTGGCATTTATGAGACTCTGCTACTGTTAAGTGGTGTTCTCCTTCCCCCCTCTCTGGACATGATCAGGTATTAAGTTTTCTCTTCTTTTTCTCACTCTCCCACCCAGAGTGACTCAGCTCCTGGTAGGAGAGATGGGTGTACGGCCGAAACGGAGGGGATGTACACGAGTGGAGGGAGAAGGGAAAGCTAGCACGTGGGCCAGACCACAGGGTCTGATCATGGTGAGAGAAGAGGCTGTTGTGTCCTGACCGCTGATTCCAAGAAGATGAATCCCAAGGTGATCAGAACCATCTTCCTGAAAGACGTCCAGCACATGGGGAAAAAAAAAAGAGTTGGATATTTCAGTACAAGCCCTATTAATGCCAAAGCAGACACTGAATCACTCGCTTGTCCCAGCCTACGCTATTTTCTATATATTTCATACTGATATATTCTGTCTTCCCGATTGGATTGCAAGCTTCTTGAGGGCAAAGACCATGCCTTACATGTCTACATATGACCCAGAATACATCGTACTCAAATACATGCTGGGTGGCTAAGTGGTCAGGTTAGAAAACTCCAGTCAACCACAAGCCAGTTCTTCCAGGCTGGTCTGGAAATATCTGGCTTATATTTATTTACTTTTACACATAATTGTGTCCTATCTTCCCAGGTGGATTGTATATATATTCACTGAGGCTTCACGGGACTTGGCCCATAGTTAGCTTTCAACAAATACTTAACAATTAGATTTCTCAGAACAGTCTTCACCAAGAGAAAAAGTGGAACTGGAAATTTAATGCTCTCCAACTCCTCGAAGACCCATCCTTGGGGCAATGAGATTCCAGGCATGATTGGACAGGACAGTCCCTGCCTGGAATCCCCCCTGAGAGTGGCTCTACGCATATGGGGGCTATTTCTGGGAAATAGTGGGTGAACAGACCCTTTCACTTCAGTTTGCCCTAGTGCTCAGACATAGCTGGTGGAGATTTGCGGGCTTGTGTATAATGGGCTTGCTGATTCATTTTTATCATTCATCACAGTCACCATTTGAAACTGGCCAGTGTGAACATCCCTAGGTCTTGACAATGACAATCAAGGTGGTCCTGAAAAGGAGTTTTTGTGTCAACAAGCTGGTGTCCTGCTTTCTAACTGGACAATGTACGTAATTTGGGTTGAGGAAGAGGCACTGTCCATTCCAGGCAGGCACAGCCTTCCCCAACATCCCAATACATTCTACTCTGCCCTTCCATTTACTCCCCAGTGCTACCCCTCCTCCTCCTTTGAAGGCATGTGAGCAGGTTCCAGGCTTACAGCTCATTGGACTGAGCTTGCCCCTGTCTTCCTTTCTGGTGTGGTGATTTCTGACTTTCTTATGACCAGAAGCCAGACTCTGGGTTTGTTCTCCCCATCGACCATGTAGAGGAACGGCCCTTAGAGAAATTCCTCCCAAGATCAGCGGTTCTAACTGCTCAGCAGTGTTACTTGGAGGAGAGCTTAAATAATACGGCTCCATGGAAACTACCCCCAAAGATTCTAATTTAGTCAGTCTGGTGATGTTCAATCAACTATATAATTTTTTTTAAGATTTATTTATTTTAGAGAGAGAGTGTGTGGGGGGGAGTGGGGTGCAGGGAGGGCCAGGGGGAGAGGGAGAGAGAACCTCAAGCAGACTCCCTGCTGAGCGCAGAGCCCAATGCAGGGCCTCGATCTCACGGCCCTGAGATCATGACTGGAGCCATAATCAAGAGTCGGACACTCAACCGACTGAACCACCCAGGTGCCCCCAGTCAGCTGTATTTTTTTAAAAAAAACTTTACAGATGACTCTGATGCATGGGCAAGCTGAGGAACCACTGGATAAATTCTAAGCTCTTTGAGATCAGGAAACATGTGAGTCTTCCCTTCTGTATCCCTCAGTGTTTAGCACAATGCCTGGCATATAGCAACCACCTATAAACGAGGCCAGTAAATAAATGATTGAAAACAGGGTGATGGATTGGGAGTACAGTCAACCTGGTGTGTTACCTAAGGTTAGGAAGGGCCAATGGGACGCAGAAGGTCAAACCAGTCACAGTGGGGGTAGGGGATGGAAAAAAGCCAGAAGGGGGTTGCAGAAAACTGGGTAATTTGCGCTCCACATGGGACAATATGGCCCCTGCCCTTGAAAATTCTGCTATGCCCCTGTACTGGGACTTACAGGAGTTCTGCCTCCAGTCCCACCTAGGAAATCTGATTGATCATTTGTTAAAAACCCTCCAAGGCAAAACAAACAAACAACCCAACCCAACCCAAACCATAAAACTCCCTGCAAAGCCCTGCATTGTCAGGATAGTCTACACTCCCTTCTCTGGCTCACAAGTCCCTTTCTGGTTCCTTCCCAACTCATCGCATGCTGCTCGCTCCCATCTCTCTACACGCAGTGCCACCCTGCCTTCTTTCAGGCCTTACACCTTGCGGGGTTCTCCCTGCCGGCAATGATTGTTGCCCCCGGCCCCCCTTTCCTCTAGCAAACCCCAATGCAACTATCAAATCACAGCTTTAAAACATCACCTTCTCTTCCCCCAGAAGACTGTCAGCTCCCTGAGGGTCGAGGCCAGCCTGCTGTGTCCAACGCCTAGCCAGCAGATGCTCCAACATTTGTTCAATGAAGGGAAGTGGGGACGAGAAACCAAGAGCAGACACTCAGGACTGCTTGCATTTGCTGTGAAACTGGATTCTGCAGACACCAACAAGCGCACTGATTTGGCCCTAGAGAGGAACTGGGCTCAGGGTTGGGCGGTGTGTTGAGAAGAAAAGCAAGTGAAGGTGGGAGATTCCAAAACAGACCAGAGAGCAGCCAGAGGGTTCTGCCCAATCCCTCGCTGGGGTCAAAGGCCGTGGGAGACCGTCTTCCGTGGCCACACTGGGCCAAGGCATGCGGCCAAGCTGGCCCCAAGCTGAGAAACCGCGATGGCCGCCCAGGCGTGACGCGGGGGCTGCAGGTGGGAGCAGGCGCCAGGGGGGCGGGGGCGGGGCGTGCCGGCCGGCTGCGCTCCGACAAGGTCAGGTGCACCGCGCGGGCGGGGCAGGCTCAGCGCGGCCGGAGCTGGAGGCAGCTGATTCGCCTGCCTGACGCGTGGATGCCTTGATTTGGTCTGACAAGTGGAGGCTGCTGTGAGAAGCGGCCTGGATTTTTGACATTCAGCAAGCTAGAAATAACCAGCTGGGCTCCTGGCGCTGTGGCCACAGATGTCTTGCCCTTCCCAGGCGACAGCCTGATTGAAGGGGGCTTTTCGCTCGGTGCAGACCAGTGTTCTGTGTGCCAGGCCTGTCTAGTCCGGGCTTATCTTCTAAACCTGTGGTTTAGGGGAGTCGCTTGAATTGACTGTAGCTCAGCTTTCCCTCTGTAAAATGAGGTTGCGGAGAGCTGACCCCCTTTCGCCTCTGCTAGAAAATGATTCTAAGTGGCTGCCCTGTCCCTCCGAATCCTATGACCTGAGCTTAATGTCTGCTACTTCTAGAAGACTTGCACTCTAAATATTCACTCTGGGAGGGGCTAGAAGATGATCCTGGTTGAAAGGTGCTGATTAACCTTTTGTAAATCATGGACTCTATGAGAATCCATTGAAATCTATGGGCTCTCACCCTAGAAAAATTTACACACCGACCACACATTGCTTACAGCTGCAGGGAGTTGCTAATTTAAACCACAGACCCCAGGCTTGACATCTCCAATCTAGTCCAACTCCTCTTCTTGCAGGTGAGGAAACTGGCCTAAAACAAGCCCCTGGGGGCTTTCCTCCACCTTCTAATCTTCATACACATGAGCACCACTTCTTCCTTACTTTCTCTGTTCAACCATCCTCCTCACCATCCCCCACACTTGGGTACTTTCAAGAAAGAAATTGTCCTATAAATATTTATAAAAGGCGTGGGATGCCCAGTAGCAGAGAAAGTGAAAAATAATATCCCCCAGTCTGCAAAGCATGGCCCACTGCTTCTCTCCCAGCTTCCTCCTCATCCTTCCCATAAGCCCCAGGGTTGAAAGGGGGGGCCATTGAGTGGGAGCTGAAGCTGCCACAGCAAAGTACTGGTCACTCCCTTCCAAATCAGCACCATCAACGCTATCCTATAAAACTTCCTATTCCAACATCAACCAGCAGCCACCTGTCAGGCGGCAGAAAGAGCCCAAAATGTTTTGCATAATAGCTTGCTTGCCTAAAGTGTCTTGTTACAAATTGGTTTCTTGTGCAACGGGGAACTACTGGGAGGGGCTTTTTTTTTTTAATTTAACTGCAAGAAATAGCTCTAACAATGGATGATTTAGGAGGCTAATAATTGGATCTCACTCCTACCATATTGTTTTGATAAAATGACATAGCTCAGCTGGGGGTAGGAAGGCAGTAAATAAAGACCTAATCCTTTACTACTCAAAATGTGCATGGAATTGGTGGCATCAACATCACCAAGGTGCTTGGTAGGAATGCAAGCTCTGTCCCAGGCCAGACTGAAAGGAGAGCTGCATTTTAAAGTCAGGAGGATCTGCAAACATGTTCAAGTTTGAGAGACCTAACCCAAAGTCTGCTGACAGTGGTCATTAGGGGAGTCCCAGTCATCTCTTTCTCCTACCTGGGAAAACCACAACAGATGGATGAAACTTCTCCAAGCTCTGTCTGCAGGACATGATGGCCACGCTCGCAAGGAGGACCCATCTCCTTCCCTCCACTAGAGACCTCATCCACCTGTCTGCAGTGTCACCCACCTTGGGCTACTTCTTTTTTATTATTTTATTTTCTGGGAAAACTGAGGTCTTCTATCTGGAGATGAAAATGACAAGGGACCGCCTCCTACACAAAATCGAATTTGGCTTTAGCTTTAGCAGGAGCTCTGACCTCAGTGCTGCTGGAATCAGTTCTGAGGTCTAACTACCAAATACCTTAGGGAGAATGGGAGAAGGATCACCCTGGAGCAGTTCATTCGCACAGCCTAGCACTGTTTTCATTGGCCTTCGAAAATGAAGGTGCAGAAACCATGAGAGCTAAGAGCAGAGAGTTGGACAGACTTCCAGAGTGGGACAGACAGGGGAAAGATGGAAGCGCAGAAAACTGCTCTGGGGAAGACAGGCATGAGTGACACCAGCTGAGACAGGGGCCTGATCTCGCAGGATGCCCCTCCCTGCCTCTTCTCTACAAATACTGGGGGCTCACAGTTTTAAAAAGGAGAGCTGCTTGGCCAGCTTACAGCAAATGTGATGTGGGCACTTCGCTGCTGTCCTGGCTTTTAAAGAGGTCAGAAGCAGACCAACTTCAACGTGTCAGCTGCTCTGTTTGCAGCCTTAGAAAGACATCCTTGATCTTTTATTGTCCTGCCTTTGCGCCAAGCTGCAAACTCTCCCTGGGGAAATGGCTTGCCTTAAAAGAGATGCCATTACAGCTGAAGATGCTTCAGCTTCCTTCCAGTCTCTGACTCTGCGTGGAAAGTAATTGCTGTTGCGGTATGCCATGTGCTTTTATTCTCGCCTCTTTGCCTAGCTGAACAGAAGTGAAGTGGACACAGCTGCTTAAAATTCACTGGCACTTCAACGTTTCCTTGGAGAATGATTCAAACAGGAAAGATAACCAACAGTAAGCAAAAGCGCACAGTCCAAGTTATAAAATTTTTTTGTACTTTTTTTTGTTTTGACCCTGATTCAGCTGGCAGAACAAAGTGATGATTACTTGGGACCCTGGATTAGTGAGAAAATCAGAGAGGCACTGGGACTACAAAGCATCCTAACATATAGTGGGAAAGCAGAACAAAACTTCACCCCCAACTCCTCACTGCCAGGCAATCTACACTAGATGCCGCAAAGGGATTTATTTTTCCCCAAATGGTTGAGTAGAGGCATCCCACGTGATGACAATGCTAACACAGACTCCCGGTGGCCCCAGGCAGCCTGGTAACTGTGGGTCCTGTTCCCTACAGTTTGGCTCACTTTGCCAATCCATTTTTTTCCCTTAAAGCTCAAACTCACCTCCTCCAGGAAGACTTCCTGAGTGACCTCAGCTCATAGGGATCTCATCTTTAATGCAAAGGAAAGTCACACTCTTGTTTTTGTGTAACCTTGGATTTATTCTCGAATTGTCCTTTTCCTGTCTGTCTACACAAATCCATCAGGAGCCTTCTATGTTCTGCATCTCCTGTTATCTCCCAAGCTCCTACTGTACACACTCTGTGCTTGACCAATGTCAGTTGGGTTTAGCAGACAGTAATCTCTAGGTGGCAGGTCCTTGGCTCATCCATCTGAGACCCAGGGCCTCACAAGCAGACTGAGAAAGGACTAGGACTATTGACTCAGGGACATTCTTGGCTCTGTATGAATGCTTTGTTTTAAAAACAAGGGCTTTTTTGCCTCCAGTGCATTGAAGAGACTTAACTCCACATCAGCATATTTTAAAGTATCTGCTGTATTAGATCCCACAGTCAGGCCAGTGTGTCCCCGCACAGACTCCTTCTCTTCACCCTGTGCACTCCCCAGAGACAGGGCAGGTGGTGGAAGGTGTTCAAGCTGGGTCTCTGCTTAAGGAAAGTAAACAAGGAAGTTTGGGATTTCATCTCTTCTCAAATTCCCCCAGTGTTCCCAACAACCAAAACAAAAGAATGGATTTGTTTTACTCACAGGTATTAGTGCTCCTCCAAAAGCAGGTGTTGGGCTAGCTGGAATATCAGTGGCCATACCCAATAAGGCCCGCAGGTGTGGATCATGGCAGTGTTCTGGATTTCTAGAGTAAGTTTGCTATCTTCCACTTACATCACCTTCATCCTGGTGAGTTCGCTGGATCTCGTGTCTGCTATGTGCCAGGCACTTGGTAGGCATCAGAGGTACAATGGCAAATAGATACTGCTTATAATCTAGTGGGAGAGTCTGGAAATAATCCAATAAGTAAACAGGTAAGCATGTAATTACCAACTGTGATAAAGGCCCTAAAGGACAAGAATAGGAGGCTCTACAAGAACACTAGGTTTTATCTGACCTAATGGGGGGAGATTCGAGGAGGGCTTCTCAGAGGAAGTGATATTTGAGCTGAGCACTGAAAGAGAAACAGATATTTAAAAAGTCAAGAGAGGTAACGGAGTGCTCAAGATAGAAAGAGCTTGGTCACTGGAGGAAATGCAATAGGGTCCTTGAGGCTGGATTGAAGGGAAGGAGGGAAGCAGGGATATGGAGAGGTAGGGAGGGGCTGGATCACACAGGGATGTGTTAACAGTATTGAGGAGTTTGGCTTTTATTTCAGAACAGTAGAAAGCCATTTTAGTCAGGGGATGGGAACATTACATTTAAGTTTCCAGAAGACTGCTCTGGTGAGACAATGGTGAGCAGAAGGTCATTTCTCCGATGTCTTCCAAGTGTCCCACGCATAGTCTGATGAACCGCGCAAGTCTGCTTCTATACGTCTGAGCGAATGTGGGTTATGCCTCCCCAGGCCCACGAGAAAGCCCTCAGGGCTTGTGGAAAGGTGTGGGAGCCCTTGTTGGAAGGTGTGGGAGCTCTGGTAAAACTCACAGCTAAGGCATTCAAATCTGGGCTGCTTTATTTCCATCAGCATTTTGCCTCCACTCCCAAGGAATAAATCCTTAAAATTATAACCCTTAGGTCCCCATGCCCAGGCAGGCTTACTTCTATTAGATCACAGAAATCATGGCTTTGACTGTGAATTACCAATCCCAAATTAAATGATTAGCCCAAGGTCAATGGATTAGTCAGCTGCCACACCAAGGACAGCTTTCCAGTTCCCTGCACACAAGGGAGGATGTGCTCCCCAGGAATGTTGTCGGGGGCTTTGAACGTTGGTCACTGAGAAAGAGACAGAAGGAATTTGTCTTCCCCCAAACACCTGAATTTGTACTTTGGTATTCATATTTACTGTAAGGTTCTGAAGTTCCCAGGATCACCTTCTGGGATGATCAGAAACTCTTAGAGTGGGAAGTGATTCCTTATTGGAAAAGCCTTTGTAACCAAGTTTGGTTCCACCTGAGCCATGATCATCCTTTGTGGTTGATGCTAGCTTTCTTGTGGGCTGTCCTACCTTGCCATTTCCTGAAGCCACAGGTACGACTGAATCAGGCATATGAACAACACCTGGGTTGCTGGAAAGACATCTTAATTCTCAACAGGTTTGGATCTGAGAAGGAATAGCTTTTCACTAGATTTGCTTTACAAATTTTGCACTGTTGGTGTCTTGTATCTGGGTCTTTCCCCAGCCCTCTGTGCAGAAATGAACCCAGGGTGACTCATCCTTCTGCATTTTAAAGGAATTCCAGGAGTGCTCAGACAAGCCGCTGAAAAACCTGTGTTATTTCAGGACTTCTGAGCATGGATGTCTCAGGCCCGAGTAATGACATTGAGATTAGAAATGGCTCTGCCCCAGAGGTTGCATTCTGCTTCCATCGGACGAGGTGGCAAGGCATGTGGGGGTTTACGGGTGGCTCCCCCTGGAAGAGAAGAAGCTTGAACAATTAGGCTCACATGCCCCGCTTTGTCCTTGTAGACAGAGCGTCCTCCCTTCAACCCACTTCTCCCTCCATGAACTGATCTGTCCTGACAGCTGCCAAATTAGCCCTCTCACTCCTGGGGTTGCTTTGGCAGGACCACAGATCTTTCCTTTCAGAGTCCACTCTTCATTTAAAAAGTTTTTTCAACCTTATTTCAGGGGTGAATTAAACTGATTTAAAACCCTTCAGAGGGAAGGGTAGTTTCGACCAGCAAAGGATATGCAAATCTGTGGTACCACAACTTATTTATTTACCAAATGTAAGTCTATATTTGGATATAGATGATCTATAAACACACAGGTCAGAGGAAATTCTGTGATGTCTGTTACCATTTTTCTACAGTGGTGGGTTTTCCTTCTGATCCACACACCACAGAAATGTCTTCTCGGTTCTGTTTCTTCAAATTGGAACAGTCCCTCGGTTTGGGTCTACAACCTGTTCACTAAAGGACAGAGCCCGAATCCAGTCTAGAGTCTGCTGGAAAAGAAAATGGAGTGTTCCTCTTTCAGTCACTGACTGATCATCCCATCTGTCACCAACTGATGGAGTGGCCTTGGGCAAACCACATGACCTCTCTCCCCTTCCTTTCCTTGTTTGCAGAATAAGGAAAATATCGTTCTTATGCTCTCACAAAATTATTGTAAAACCTAATTTGCAGTGAGTATGTGGGTGAGCTGGGCAGAGTTTTAAAATAGTACACAAATATAACCATGCTATTATGTGAAGTAGTATTTCCTATCCTTTCTCCCTATTCTCCCTGGGAAGAAACAAAGGAACAAAATCCTTGCCAAACCATGTGATGGCACGCCTGATTTAAGTCCTGGCCAGAGTGGAGAAGGCTGACACTATTGTGGGATCGGTCCAAGAGTTCCTAGGAATACACACACCCTGCATCTCTGTCTTGTTTGCTTTCTTACACCGTCTCAATAGCCTGGACCTCATGTTGGGCTGGAGGAGAATCCTACAAATTCCTGGAGACCTAGTCTGCTATATATTAATGTAAATGCTGCAAAGAGTTTTAGCCTGGCTGCCCGTATTTGGAGGGCTTGAAAACACATTTGTGTGTGTGCTGCGTCTGACTGTGTCTCTCTTACACTGAAAATTACTGGAATCTCTGCCATTCATTTTTTGTGATGTGGTGACTTCCAGGCAATGAGCAAATGCTACCGTGGGCAAAAGGGCTGTGGTCCCAGTACTGTCACCTATGAGCTGGCATGCCTGGGGTACGGCTTACAATTTCTCTGGGCCTCATTTTCTTAAGTTGGAGGTTTTCAAATGGTGTTCAGCGAAACCCTTTGCAGGGGCAAGGAGTCAAGATGGACTCGATGATGATGATGATGATGGCAGTGATGATTTGGCATTTGAGGCATCTTTATAAAATGTGGGGTCATAGGGAAAGTTTGAACACTGCTGTCTCCTAGCACTATTTTCTGTGCCCCACCCCCAAATTGCACCAGAACCTTCACTGAGTGCTCCTGTGAAATATTTATTTTCAGATAGTCAGATTTTTCTTCTTTTATCCTCCAAAGCTAAGAACTGTCAGGGAGGAAAGGTTAGAAAGAGAATTAGGAATTCTCAGCTTGACCCATCCAGGCTAGAAGGGTTTCCGATGGGAAACAGCTGTGACAGGGGTTTGGTCAGGTGAAATAGGGACCAGGGCTGGGACCCCCATAAGCACAGTCATCTCCCAAGAGGTGGTGATACTTAGGCACAGCATACAAATTGCAGATAGTTCCTGACCCTCTATATTCGTAGTTAAGTGTGCGCTTCCAGGATCGGTCCCGTCTATCTTCTGAAGTCATTTTAATTAAAATAGAAAGACTTTGACATAAAATAAAGAGGTGAAGAATTCATTAAAAACCTAAACTGTGCTGTCTTATAGAAGGGCCATAATTTGCTAGTCTCCTTCTGGCTGCCAATGTGCTCTGAGGGCCGTTGGCTCGAGTCGCTCTGACTTTGCGAAGTAACGCAGGACCAAGACTGTGGGTCTGATGGGTCAGGGAGAGTGGTGTCCCAAAGGAGGCCTGCAAAGTGAGTCTGCTGCAAAACGAGTAAGGTCGCCGAACAATCCACATGGCCTGCCCCATCCAGCCCACCATAATCTACTGACTGAGAAACCAGTGATGTCACACATCTGGAATCTGTCTTTGCCTCTTCCATCTCTTAGCAATGCCTCTCTACTCCAACCTTCCCAAGGCCCTCAGCCTAGAACTTTCTCCTTATTCACCAAAAAGGTGTCCCTGGCAACGGAGAGATCTTGTGAATATGTAGGGGCTGGTAGAGTTTCCCCAAAACCTATTCTTAAAGCTCTTCTCGAAACCACACGTTGCTCTTCCGTCTTTTCTCTCTTCTCACTTCTCTCTCCTCCTTCCTCCGCACTCATGTTTACTCCTCGGTGATCCCACCATGCTTCACCATATTCCTGCTTTTGTCCTCCACCGTTGGATCTTTCTCTACAGTGCTGAGCATCTGGAAACAATCTCTTGGTCATGTGTTGACACTTCAGCACTCTTCTGAAGTGAAGAGCCAGATTTCGCAGGAAACGTTGAAAACGAGATTGGGCTGCACTGTTTTGAATTATGGCCCATGGAAAGAGGAGTCAAAACAAAGTGTTTGGAAAGGCTTAGAGAAATCCTAGGGTCAAAACTTCTTAAATAAAGTTTTATGACCTAGTTGGAATGTGGCACAAATTGCCCTTTTGGTTCATTTGTTTAAAACAATTGTGTGACATCATTCTTTAGTCACTAGTCTGTGTTTATCCCCAAGGCAATTCCTAACGAATGGTGCAGGCAGCCCCAAGATGCTGTTTCATACACAACAGGCATTGTGGTCTCCTCTGCTCATTTGCAGAACCCACAGTTTTCTCACACAACAGGTTTTTGTTTTATCCAATCAGCGAAACCAAGAATCTTCAGAAGGAAACGAAGTCTGGCAAATCACTATCCCACTTGAAAGACAACTATTTGGATTTTTAAATAAAGTCCCCTTTAACTCTCACTGTATGATATAGGTTTTTTCTTTTTTAAACTTTTTATTTTGATATTTCAACTTCCAACTTACAAGAAATGATAAAAATAGTGTAAAAAAACCCTCCTGTTTACCCTTCACTGCTGCATACCATTTTTGTTATTTCCCTCTAGATATCATCATCACCATCATCGTTGTCATCATCTGATCGATCTGAGAGTAAGTTTCTATGTCTTCATCCCTAAATATTTTAGTGACTATTTCTTAAGAACAAAGATGCTCGCGACACAGTATAATTATTGAAATCAGAAAATTTAATACTATTATCTAATATATAGACCTTATTCAAATTTTGCCAGTTATCCCAAAAATATCCCTAACAGTATTCTTTTTTTTTTTTTGGACCAGCTCCCACAGGTTGTGATATGAGGTAGTTGCATTTTCATTTACTTCCAAATATTTTATCATATCCATTGCAAATTCCTTTTTAACCCATGAGTTATTTAGTAGATTACTGGTTTCCAAACATGTGTTGTAGTGACTGTTTTGTACTACTTTTCATTGTTGATTTCAAATTTCATTGCACTATAATCAGAGAATATGGTCTCTATAATATCTTTTTATATTCGTTGAGGTATCCTTTGTGATTTCAAAAGAGGTAAGATTATGTAAATATGTATTTAGGTCGAATGTTGAATATAAGGACTTTTTCCTACATATCTGGTAAACTTGTTGTTCAAATCTTTTACATTCCTGATAAGTTTTCATTTTCCTTGATCTCAGTAATCTACACTATGATTATAGATTTGTTGATGTCTCCTTATATTTCTCTCAGCCGTGGTTTTGTAGTTTTCAGAGCTGTGCTGTTAGATGCATACAGGGTCATGAATGCTACATGTTGGTGGATTATTTCCTCTAATATTATATAGTGCTTTTTACCCAAAATTCTATTTAGTCTAATATAAATATTGCTGTACCAGGTTTCTTTTCATTATTACTGCATGGTACAGCTTTTTATTCTTTTATATTCAAAGTTTCTCTTTTGGTTTTGTTTCAATTATGTCTCCTATAAGAGGCATATAGCTGGATTTTTTTAAAAATCCACTCTGATAACCATTTTCAGTAAATAAATGTAATCCCTTTATATTTGTTGTGGTGTATTTGAGTTTCTGCCTTCTTATTTTGGGTTTTCTCCTTACCATAATTTTTTTTTTTCGCTTTGTAAATTTCTCTTTTTCTGCCTTCTGTATAAATAAAGTTCGCATATACTTAGAATGTTTGAATAGATATAAATGTATTTGTTGATTACAGTGGTTCCCTTTAATTTTTTAGGCATACATATTTAGCCATAAACTTTTTTAACAAAAGCCAAAGTTATTCAGAATTTCTATCCTTCTCATTACTATTGCATAAGCCTAATAGAGATTAAACATGGTATTCCTTTCCCCCATCTTACCATTGCTGTGTAGATCTTGAATTTTACCCTTTTTTAATATCCAAAAGTATGTTAATATGTATGCCTTCATGGTCAATGATTAATTGAACTTACTGATAAATGTTATCAATTTCTGTTTTATCATTATTTCTTGTATTTTATGCCTTGGACTCACTTTTCTTCTTAGTGAATAACATCCTTTAATAGTTCTTTTAGTGGAGTGTTTTACTCTGTTTTTGTTGATAAGAAATCTGTTATGCAGTTGTCACTTCTTTGTAGATAATATAGTATTTCCCCTCCGGAAATTTCTGAGCTCTTCTCTTTAATGTTAGCATTCTGCAGTTTTACTTCAGTGTGTCTGGCAAGCCTGAGCTTCCTTTAGTCATCTTAGGACACAGTTTGAGGACTCCTCTCTTCTTTCAGTCATCGAAAAGTCTCTGCTATTTACCTCTTTGAAGATTGCTTCCCTCGTTTCCTTCTTCAGAACTCCTATTTGCCATGTGTGGTAGCTATTTAAACTATGATCCTTGTCTTTCTTCGTATCTTTTCTCTCTCTGTATCTTTGGCTGCGTAGGGGTAAATTCCTCAGTACTATTTTGCAATCCTTATGTATTTGTGTTCAATCTAGAGTTTATCCTATTGATTGAATTTTACATTCAAATTACTATCATTTTTAATTCAAAGATTTCAAATAGCTTATTTTTCATATTTACATAATTTATTTTGTGTGCCTATTTGTGTTTCATATAATGCTCTTTTAAAAAAACAGAAGCTAGTCCTTTATTTTATTTCTTTGAATACTCTAAAAGATACTCATTTTTAAAATTTTTTTCAGGCTATTCTATAAAAATAATTTTGTTCAGGATAAATAATTTGTTGACTTACTTTGTTAACATTAGACTTTTTTGGGTAGGATTTAGAATTTTGATCTGCAGGCTCTCCAAATCTTATTTGGGAAGATTTTTACTTTTTTCTCTTCCCACTTGCCCCAAATAGTAGTTTCACAGAAGCCTCACCTGGACTCAGAAGCAGGTGGGGCTTCTGTCTATTGGTGAGATTAGGGATACTATAGATCTAGGCACTGAGCCAGCAGGTAGCTTTACTCATTTTCCATTCATGAGACTGTGTCCAGTCCTCTCACTTTCCCAAGCTCACAGTTTGCCAAAAGCCATGATCCCAAATAAGAAATGACCAGATTCTAGATAAATGTTGAAGGTAAAATTAACATTGTTTCCTGGTACATTTGTTGAAAGATATGAAAGAATGGTTATATCCAGGTTTGGGGCCTCAGGAATGGAAGGACAGAGTTGCTATTACCTGAGATGGGGTAGACTGAGGGTAAAACAGGTAAGGCAGGGGAAAATTAGGAGTTCATTTGAATTTGAGATTTCTGTTAGACATCCAAATGGAGATATTAAGTAGGCTGTTGGATATATGGGCCTGGAGTTTAAAGGGAGATCTGAGCTGGAAATTTAAATTGGAAGTGGCCAGGATCTAGATGATATTTAAAACCATAAACATGGGGCACCTGGGTGGCTCAGTCGTTAAGTATCTGCCTTTGGCTCAGGTCATGATCCCAGGGTCCTGGGATAGAGCCCCGCATCGGGCTCTCTGCTCGGCGGGAAGCCTGCTTCTCCCTCTCCCACTCTCCCTGCTTGTGTTCCCTCTCTCGTTGTGTCTCTGTCAAGTAAATAAATAAAATCTAAAATAAATAAATAAATA